AGAATATTCTGTGGTATTCAGGAGTGTTAAATCGGCAGTGGCTTTGCTTCAGTTTTCAGGGACTTTATTTTGAAGTCTGACAAACTACAGAGAGATGATGTACCACAGACACGAACAGCAAGGACATCTCTAGCCTCATTTTTCCATGGTCTTGCTGAGAGATGTACAGAAGAAGATCTGTGTGTCTGCACAACTCACAAATCCTGACTAAGCATAACTGCAAGGAAAAACAGTTCATCCTCACACTGCCAGACAGGCATGTGTTGCAACAGGCAACTGTTAATCACACTCCTACAATGTGATATGTATGGCTACAGGTCAAATGCAAAGGATGCACCCAAGTGTGCACATTGACACATGTGGTGCTGGTGCTGGAGACTCACATCTCAAGTTTGTGCAGATTTGCACATCCCATGGGTCTAGACAAAGCTCCCTATGAGAACATCCCCTACCCATGCTCCCTGCAAGCTGTGTGTGGAGAAACGCTCTTTGCAAGCTTGTCCACTGCTGCTCCCTCGTGTCAGTCAAAAAACAAAGCCAAACAAAACTCTGCCTCTTCCGCAGCAATAGAAGAGTTTAACAAATCTCTCCTTTTCTAGTGTGGAAACAGCCTTCTCCCAACCTACCCCCGTGACTATCTGGAGACACACACACACACACACACACACACACACACACAATTTCATTCTGCTTTCAGAGTGTATTTTTCCTCAAGTTACCCCATTTTTGGAAAGTCTTTTGTGAACAACCACTGTTCTTCATGAGCTGACATTTTCAGAAGTCAAAATGCTGAGGCCTAGGCCAGCAGTTCAGTGTCTGGGACCAAAACCTCTATAACAAAAAAAATTCAGTTAGGAAGAGGTTAAAAAAAAAAACCAAACCTCACACCATTGTACTAAAGAGGTGTGCTAACAACATACAGCTACAAAATCTTATATTCTCATGATTTTCCATTGCCACTGGCAGCGATTGTTTCACTCAGAAATGATGAATGTAATCACTTAATGAGCATGTCTCCTACTGATGCAGTTAACATAATCTTGTGATCTCTGGTGCAGATAAACCCCAGATGTGTGATGACAGGCATAGAAGTCAAAAAACCACTATTCACTTTAGCATCTTCATACGTTACCACAAAAATTTGAGCTAAAAACTAAAGGTAATACAAAACAAAGCAAAACAAACAAACAAAAGGAATTCATCCTCAGATATTACCTATTTAATAAAACACTTTCCCAAACAAAAGTTGGGGGTTTGCATGAAAGTTCCTCTTAACTGAAAAGTAGCAACATAGCAGCATTTCATGGCCATTTGAAGAGCACAAAAACAGAGTTTTAGCAAAATGGAGCATCCTGACTCCAGACAAAGCTATTCAGAACTTTCTCCTAATGGGAAACCAGATTTGTACTATTTCGTACCCTTCCAGAATAGGCACTGGAGTAGGGAACAAAATAAATACCAAAAAGCCACCAACACCACCACTTTTTTCACCCACAACCTCTCTCCTGTATCTGGTAACGGGCAGGCTGGACAAAAAAAACACCTGTTTTCTAGTCCACCCTGTTACAACAACATACAGCAGCCTCAACCACAGCTGGCACCCCTTCATGCCAAGCAGCATACAAATATAAGCAAGGAACTGGCAAGGTCAGACCAGAGAAAGCCTTAGGGCCAGCAAGGGTTATGCCCATCATGAAAACAGGAAGAGATACAGACATACAGGACGAACAGGCCATGAACTCCAGGACAGGTGGGCCCCAGGCAGCCCTTCATCAGCTATAGGCTTCACCATCTTCCCAATCCCTTCAATTGCTGCTTCAGTAGGAGTAGTACGCCAAAATAACGGGGTAGCAATGCTGGTTTTCCCCAGTGCAGAAGGGATTTCAGGAGTTGCTTTCTGAAGCTCTGATCCAAACAACAGTAACTCCAAAAAGACATGACAGCTATCCCCAAATAATTTCCCGTATGTGAGCCACTTGTGCATGACAGAACCTGGACAGAAACCCTCCAGCAAAGACCAGTCCTCCTCCGTTACAGTTTTAGCAAGTTAAGTGATATATATGCTTACTCCATTTATTTTTCTTATCGGTGCAGCCTCACATTGTTCTGCAAGACAAACCTTGAGAAAAGTGGACTGAAAGATTCCTGTATTCACAATGTTGTTGTAATCACTACCTTCACTTTCTGCAGAACTGCTTCTTCCTATCTTCCAAGTGAAAAGAGTGAGAAAAAACTAAAAGCATTAAACTCCTCCACATGAACAGTTCACTAGTTGATCCTCTGTCCTCTTCTTCCTATAAAAGCCAGAACTTTAATGGCAAAAAAAATGCTATTTTCTTTAACAGTTAAAAGACTTTTCCCTGTGAAAGAAACACTCCTACCAGAGCACTCACCTGCTAATGCAATCTGATCTACAGTACACTACTGAGAGCAGTAGCTCAAAGCAAAAGCCTCATTTTTTTATTTTTTTTATATACTCATATAAATTTAAGTTTGAGCACCAAGCAAAAAATCTCAAACACTTTGAAGGATTAAATCTTCAAAAACATTTAAATATGCTAGAACAGCCTCTGCTAAAAATTAAATTATTTGATCCTTCTACTGCTCCTAGTAATATTACTTGTTTGGATAGCCCCACAAATGTCAACACTTGCATTTTCAGCATCTAAACATTCAAAACTTTCAAAAGATCTATTTAGTAAACCAAACACACACTATTGTTTTCTTCTATGTAGTTCTAATCTGATAACAATATCACAAGTTAATTGATTTGTAATGTTCCAAAGACACTGTACCTGCCTTCAAGGTTTAAATAATTTAATAATCTATACTTTAAAATTAAAGGCAAATCACACAACCAGTATTCCATCATAAGCAAGTGTAAAATAAACATACTTTCATGCAGTCCACCCAAAGCAGCTGCCATTTCAGCTATTTCTGGTATTGACTTTTGTAAAATACAAAACAGTAAGATGGATAAGTAACTTTCTGCATTTTTCAAGGAAGGTGTATATGAAGATAGGCCAAGAAAGTTGGGGCTGGTCAGCCTGAAGAGAAGGCTGCATGGAGACCTCATAGCAGCCTTCCAGTATCTGAATGGGGCCTATAGGGATGCTGGGGAGGGACTCTTCATGAGAGACTGTAGTGACAGGACAGGGGGTAACGGGTTAAAACTTAAACAGGGGAAGTTTAGATTGGACATAAGGAAGAAGTTCTTTACTGTGAGGGTGGTGAGGCACTGAAACAGGCTGCCCAAAGAAGTGGTAAATGCCCCATCCCTGGCAGCGTTCACGGCCAGGCTGGACAGAGCCTTGGGTGACACAGTCTAGGGTGAGGTGTCCCTGCCCATCAGCAGGGGGATTGGAACTCTATGACCTTAAGGTCCTTTCCAACCCTAACTATTCTATCATTCTATGAGCTTAAGAGAATATGAAAATTAAGAAAATATTTGAATGCTACCAGCAGTGCATGTTTGACAATGAAATTTAAGTGATTCAGCTTAAACTTAACTATCTGGTAAACTAAGTATTCTAATAATCTCAGACATACCAAGTCCTGTAACTTTCATCCTTCCCAAACGGAGGTTTCAGCTACCAAACCAAGTATCAGAACCTCCCCAAAAATACAAGTGCAATGTAATTCTAGTATAGTATTATTATCCTACTTTGTCCTAGAAAACTCACCTCCAGTAATACAGTCCTGGACTTTAGAATGTCTAACTGGTGTCAAAGTAAGCCTGCAAAATTTACTGTTCAGCCTTAAGATGACTCTTGACAAGCAAGTGGCATTTTATCAACAGCACCATACAATACCTAGAATCATAGAACACTTTGGGTTGGAAAGGACCTGAAGACCACCTAGTTCCAATCCCCAACACATAAGAGGTGTTACGAAGCTGGGAGCAGCATGGGCCCAGAGGCAGCACTATTTGTAGATTACCTGGATCAGTACTATTAAGTTCTATGTTCAGTAACTACTGAAACTCTAGCAGGTATTTGCTAAGGCAAATGTCCCAAGTTCTGTCCTTCCTGCACTTCAGGTGATGAGGGAAGAACTGCACATACTTCTGTTTTGAGAGTTAACTCCCAGTTGCTGAGAGTCTTCAAAAGTTTCAGTAATTTCCAAGTACACCATAGCATCTTAGTCCTATGCTTCTCCAGCTCTACCCAGGAGCAAAAGGGTCTGTGACTGTGCCAAGTACAGAAGCTAAAGTGGTTAAGAGCAGGAAGAGACATCCCTTCTGTACCTTCCACATAAAAGCCAAAAAAGTGAAGATAGTTCTTCCCATATGCTGAAAAAAGTAAGAAATACCAAAAAAAAAAAACCACCACAACACCCACCATTTGCTTTTTCAATGTTTACTTAATTACGAGAAAACAGTTACACTGTAACTCTTATTACTCAAATCAACTTTGAAAAATATTCATCAACATATTCCTAGAATTGAATTTTCCTCCCAAACTTTACATTAAAACTCAGATCTTTAAAATGTTTGTCACCAGAAAAAAAATAAAAAATTCTGAAATATGACATTTAAGGTCTTCCAACCTACAAGGAAGTGTTGAAAATTTTTCTCCATAAATATCCTTCATATCACAGGAAATAACAACATCACTGGAATGTTAACCGTGTTACAGTATTTCAAGTTGGTTACAATTAGTTAAGAAAGGGAAATTAACATGTAAAAGACAGTAATACAGGTAAAAAACAAACAAATAAAACAAAACCAACATCTAAAACAGAGCAGTTTAAGAAAATGCTTCTGGAAATCTCAGTGAGAACACCTGCTATGTCCTGATACTGTTTCTTCCCTGCCTCTCTTTAAAAAGGGCATTTAAAGTGATGGAGTAGGTAACAGTTTAATCAGTCAGAAGGGAATACCACAACAACAGAGAAAAGCACTGAACCATATGGGTGCTATATCTAGCTTTTGTTGACTGATTTATACTCTCCAGAAAAATATAGCATTCTTCCCCCTGATTAAAACCAAAATGCAACTCTTTAAAGTGACAAAAATAATATATTACAGTGTAAAAACAAATTAATACAGATCAATGATTCCAGAACTAAAAGAATTTTCACTGAATGTACCAAAAGCTGTAACCACAAATTACTAAGGCAGATTCGACTTCAGTTACACTAATTTATAGCATTATAAATATTCTTCACCCTGCAAACGTCTTTAAAATCAATACCTAGTGATTTTAAACAATCAACACCTATTGCACCAAAAGCTGAAATTAACAGATTCTATTTATAAAGTGCTGCAACCCTTCCAAATTTGTGCCATACTGTACTTCTGTATTTATCTTGGTTCCTGTATCTTGAATACATTAAGAGTTCAGTGAGACCACTTGATTGCAGGCTTTGAAGGAAAGACTGTATGAGGTAGAATAAACTCCTTCAGGTTCTCTGCTACCCTAGGGACCACTGAGCTGTGCAAATGGCTCTGCCACAGGAAAGGGCTCCAAAGCTTTCTCCGAGTTCTTCCAGTTGTGAAAGTTTTCTTTGTACCATTCAACTAGTATGAAGAGAATGTTAATGAGTCAAGTTGACCAGCAATAACAGGTAAATTAAAATATTCTACACATATCATAGGACTACCAACATGTTAACAGTTTATTATGCAAACATTTAACCCACAATATTTAAAGAAATCTAGCATAGGTTTTGTAAAGTCTTCATGCAAGACTTAATCTAGCATTAAGAAGTAATTCTAGTAGCTCATGCTTTATTGTGATTAACCTTTTTTTTATTTTTAATCAGGTAAATTCCCTACTTTAAGAACAGCCCATTTATGGAAAATTAAAATGCTAAATTCATTCTCTTTAGCTTCTCATTAACAAACCTATATGCCTGTTTTCCACCCATTCCCTCCTCCCATCACTTCTAAATCAATTAGTGTAAAAGCCATCAGTCCTACTTGTTTTCTTTATTCCTTCTTTCCAAGGCACTTTAGGTCTCCATCCTAAGCTGTGCATTTTTTCTGAATTCATGGGGTATCTCAGGTCATTGGTAGGTCTGATGAAGTATACAATGCAGATGGAAAACAACTGGATTAGATTACTTCATTAATTAGAGATGCAGTACCTCACACTGTCTTCAACATTACGCATGCTTCAATTCTGAAAGTTCCCATCAACATGAACAGATTATATTGCCTTCAAAAACTATGTGGCACTGAGTACAGCTTCTACACCACAATTCAGTTTGTACAGTTAACTTCTTGGAATTGAGTAGTATAAATATGAATTATTATCGTATTGGTACAGAAATGAATGCAAAACTTAAATTACTGCCAGTGCAATTGTGCAAATCAGTGCCTTTGCACTGCTTTAGGCAGTCACTATCCAAGCCAGTGTTTTCTAGTATCTGCATTCACATTTTTCATCCTGAAAGACCAAAATTTTTCACCTACTTCAGATTTGAAATACATACACTTCCAAAGCACTGTCATTACAGTCCTTCAGTAGCTACGCAAACTTAGTAATACTCAATACATAGAATCCCAGGCCGCAAGATTCAACACAGAAAGAGATTTCCTACATTTAAGCATGACACAAATTTTCCCTTTCACAGTCTGGCAGTTAGGCAATCTCATCTAGCACTCCTGCATTAGCATACTGAATCTCAATGTGCAGAGAGAAACCAACTACTTATTAAAACATGCTGATCTCAAGCAGAAGCAGAAATAATTTTTCCATGGCAAATAACCCCCATGACCCTTAAATTGCTCGTTCTAGAATTAAATAACTGCTAGTTAGGTATCTTAAAAATCTTTTGTAAGACCTCAACATTCTTTGAAAGATGTATAGGGTTAGTTTTCTCAATCCCATTCATGTTTAAGCATCAGTGGACAGGACCTAGTACACACGAAGAAACATCTCAATCTGAATTATGCTGAGACCTACTGAACACCCAAATCACATGAGCCAAAGACTATTTGTTCAAAGTCCTGCAATACACCCAGATTTCTGAAAAACGCTTCCTTTTAAAAACAAAAATTAATATATTTAAAGACACTTCAGTTTGGTAACAACTGACACACACTTGGGTAATAATCCAAATGTAAACAGAAAGTGAGAGATTTAACAGACATAATACTTAACTGCTATCAGCAGGCATGTCATTTCTAATCACTAGTGAGAGTGCAATATCTGGAGTAAGCAGACTCATTGTGGCAGGAAAAAAAAAAAAAAAAAAATGGAGATAAAAGAACAGAGCCAAACCAAGCCTGAAATTAAGGACAAAAACACAGAGCAAAAGCATATTTATAAAAGTTATCAATTTCTGCCACCACCCTAAGTTTGGCAGCTGGGAATCTAAAACCAACTACACTCCACAGGTGCGTATTTCTGCCTGTAGAGAGCAGGTCTTATCTATAAAGCAAATTTAAGTCTGAACTAATTACCTTATTGTCAAAATACTAATGCTATATGAGAGATGATGGAATTCACCTCACTCAAGTGAGGTTGAAGAGAAAGTAGAGAAAGTACTGAATAAATTATCTAAACTATGCTTAATAGTTAGTTACTGTGTAAAACCAGCCCTTTTCCCAAAGCACACTTCAATAGTGAGAAGTCTGAGTAAAATTAAGACAGATTAGCAATACACGCTCTCCTATGTATGTGCCAGATATCTACTCTGACCTAAAGATCCAAATAATAAATGGAAATATTTTCTATGCTTTTTCTAAACTGCTCTCACTCCACAAAATAACTATTTGGCAAGAGTCCCAGAATTCCTCAGGATAGAGAAATTCTGCATATCCTTCACAATTTCCTTACCTATCTTTGACATAATCCATCCAGTGCTCCATTTCAGATTCTGAACTGGTCTTCTTTATCTGTCAAGAAGAGAAACAGAAGTCACCCCCATACATTCTGCACTATCTTAACATAAATTTTAAAATAGACTTTTTAGCAAGATTTAAGTCTCTTTAAAAAGAATCCACACATACAAAATGGAAATGGTCTTTGTCTAAACAGAGGTTTTTAAAGTACTGAAATTATTAAAACCATCCAGAACAATTTCAGTGTTACTTCTTCATCTGAGTGCCACACTCTCAAATCAGAACTGAAGCAGCTAGCATGAAAAAACCCAAACAATTGGTATTTAACCATTAATGTCCCAGATCAGATAACTGATGCAGTAGTGCAACACATGATAGCTTGTACTGAAAACTTACATAGTACAGCTGCCACAGAAAAGGTAACACATTGTTCTGCTACAATTACCTTCTAAGACCCACCACAAGCTTGATTTCTCTCACAGGTATGAATGGTTCATAGTAGAATTGTTTATATGTGCAGTGACTGGTAAAGGAAAGCATCATAACTGTTTACTCACTAAATGGATTAACTCCTTAGCAAGCTGCGAAATGGACATCTCAAAGTTCGTTCCAATGTTATAAATTTCACCTGGCTTTCCTTCCTTCAAGACAGTGAGGAATGCTTCTACCACATCAGCTGCATAAAGGAAATTCCTTCTTTGAAGTCCAGAACCATGGATACAGCTTAAAACCAAGAAGAGATAAAAAATTTTTGTTAATCCTTAAACAGAATTATTCAATTCATTAGTGTGCATTTTAAGCCATTTTGTCCTTAGCTGTTACCTGAAGGTATCTTAAGTAGCTGACATGCAAGCAATCCTCTAGTTTAAGGAAATGGTATTATCAAAATAAGCAATTCATAACTTAGCTGTGAAATATAGTAGGTGGTATAGTTTGTAAGGACAAATGCCACAAACAAAAGAGCAAATTACATACCATTTTCTGTTCTGCTGCAACAAAGATATAAACTTTGGAATGACCTAAGGAACAGAAGATGGGGGGAAAAATAAATAAATAGATAAATAAATAATCACTATTTTAGAAGCTGTTACTCTACAAAGAACATTGTGCTTCACCAGTAAGTATCATGAAGTATCTTAACAAGACCCTTTAAATACTTCTAAGTTTTCTTAAGTCTAATCAAAAAGTGCATCAAGCCTAGGAACTGTAACGATTTTCCGGGGTGGAAGGAGGGGGGGAGGGTGGTTAACAGAATATGCCTGTTGTGAAGCTTATCTTTCTGGTCAACAATTACAGATCAGTTGCTACAAACTTAACATTTTTATGAATTACTTTTCACACACAGAACTGCACTAGAGTCTCATTAGTGATAACTACTGGAAACTGTTTAGAACATGATTTAAACATCCAGCAAATTGCATTAAGTCTATAGTAAAAAAAGTTAGTCATTCAAACAGTTAAATTTGGAAGAGAATTTCAAGATAAGTAAACACAGTTCAAGCAATAGCCACTAGGTGAGCATAAAGATTTACAGTATTATGCTCAGCTACAAGTTTAGATCCATTCAGAACAGTTGGTCCTGCTATTAAAGTTATTAGACTGAAGCCATTAGAAAGCTATTCCAATTATTTTAATTTTGTTAACTTACTACCCTAAACACAGGAGCTGACATACTCAGTAAAACTAAAGATCCATCCAGCCTAGTAACTTCTTAGCAGTAACTACAAGTGGATATTTGAGGAAGAAATTATATAGGCCAAAAGCAATGATGCGTCCCCTGAATACACTTCCAACATCATGCAACCTATAAACAGACACTGCCCAAGTCACACATCAGTGAAAAACATTCTTAAAACCATTGCTTACCCTCCTGCAATAACTGAGGGAAAAGTGAATATGCAAATATACCAAAAAAAAAAAAAAAGCAAACACCCAACCCAACACACAAAACGGATTTCAAAATTTAAGAAATAACTCACTAGAACTCAAAATACAGCTACATTTCACACAAGCTCTGAACTCCAAAGAGTACACAGGGTTATCATTTTGTCAGTGTACTTCCATTCACTAGCATAGCAGTATTGCATACAAAGGCAACTTCCTCTCACCAATAACCATTTTAAATAGATACACTGCAAGGTACATGCAAAGAACAAGTCACTTTGCAAAGCCGCTCACCTCACAGCTGATTGCCATAGCTTCATCTTACCAATTTTCTGTACAGGCTGGAACATCACTATGTCAGGCATACTGCTTACGATTCATTTCGAAGTGCTTAACTCAGTTAAACATTGTTACAGCACAACACGTGAGTTAACTGTAATTTGTAGGGGAACCCTGACAGACATAGGGCATTTAAATATCCTTTGAAAAGTAACAGTTACAAAACAAAGTCATTGTAGTAAAACTCATGTCAATAACTAAAACCTCTGATGCTTTACTGACAAGCAAAGCAATGTGTATTATTATGTTGATAGTTAAGACACATCAGTGTGAGACCAAAATACATAATCACAGCTAAGTGTGGACATATATACTTGCAAGACAATCCTTTTTAAAAAAAAAAAAAAAAAAAAAAATCAATCCATTCTCATAAGAAAAAAGTAGCAATACTGTAACCCTGAATTACAGTATACTGAAGCTCAGAGAAAAGCATAGATGTAACTTACTTTTTCTGGATACTGATGTGGTCCATAGACATTACTGCTCCGTGTGATAACAACTGGGAACTGAAGAGCATGAAACGTGCATACGATTACATAAGAAAATATACACCAGTAAAAATCTGTAGGCTTCTTGCTGATCAGTAATAAACTGACACATCCACAAGGCCTTACTAACATTAATGAATTAAGCTATCCACCAAATAGGCAAGGGCCTCCAGACTTCTCAGTTGAAGCATCACAGGTGACAGATATTTGCAATCTCAGTCCTGCTACAGATATACATAGTCCACTGGAGACTGGCTTACTACTCATTCCAAGAAAACGTTTCAGTCACTAACATCTCATTCAAGAAAACTATGTCAAAAAGCTTTGCAAAAGGACATGTCAAGAACAGAAGACTAAAGTATTAAAAACGTTAAATATTTTTGCTTAAATGAGTCTGTATACTAGGGGTTTTTTGTTCCCTTCTCCCCCCGTTTTCTTTCTGCTTTCACTATGAGACCAGTCTTAAAACAACTTGAATATTACATACTCTACTTCTCTATAAACTTTTCTTCAATCTTAACACTGTTTCTTCAATTGTTAATGTTTGCTTTGTTTACCATTTTATCCAGGAAAATTTTCAGACATTAGAGTTCAGATTTGTAAAAATATAAAAATATTTGACCCCTCCCCACTGTCTTGCAATGAATCTCAAGCAGTAAGTGGTGGCCATCCCCAAACACATCCAAACAAGAAGAATAACAATCAGCCCTGGGGCAGGTGGTTAGGGGCTCTGGAGCTCAGATAGTCTTTTCGTCAATTCTCCAGGATACAGGAGAGGACCTAAAAAAAGCTAGGAGGATTAGACAGGTTAATAAATGGTTAAAAGGGTGGTGTCATAGTCAGGGGTTTGGGTGTCTTGAACACAGGACCCAAGTTTATAGGCCAGGTCCACTGGGAGCTGGTGGAGCTGGTCTAAAGAACGGAAAGAGCAGTTTTGGTAGGAGGCTTGCCAGACTGGTCAAGGAGGCTTTAAACTAGATGTGTCGGGGGACGGGGGCATCATTCCATTCCAACACACCCAGTCAGTTGCCGGCACCTATAATAAATGCTCAGAACAATGTAGAGATATCCCAGCCGCTCCAGCCAATGAGCCGGCTTCATTTGGAGCTCGGCTCAGATGCCTCTATACAAATGCCCGTAGCATGGGGAACAAACAAGAGGAATTAGAGATGTGTGCATGTCTACGGGGGTATGATATAATAGGCATCACAGAAACATGGTGAGATGGCTCCTATGGCTGGAGTGTTGGAATGGAAAGTTACAGGCTCTTTAGGAAAGACAGGCCTGGCAGGTGGGGAGGGGGAGTTGCCCTTTATGTTAGGGATAGGCTGGAGAGTATGGAACTCTGTCTGGGGACAGGTGAGCAGTTAACAGAGAGTTTGTGGGTCAGGGTTAATGGGAATATAGCTATGGGAGACATTACTGTGGGGATCTGTTACAGACCGCCTGATCAAGGAGAACCTGCGGATGAAGCACTCCATAGACAGATAGGAAAAGCCTCACGCTCACAGGCCCTTGTTCTCATGGGTGACTTCAACCACCCTGACATCTGTTGGAAGGATGGTATGGCCCGGCACAAGCAATCCAGGAGGATCCTTGATTGTGTGGAAGGCAACTTCCTTCTGCAAGTAATAGAGGAGCCGACAAGGAGAGGTGCCATGCTTGACCTCGTGCTCACCAACAGGGAAGGGCTCGTCAGAAATGTGACGCTCCAGGACAGCCTTGGATGCAGCGATCATGAGATGGTCGAATTTGAGATCCTCGGGACAGTGAGAAGAGCGTGCAGCAAGCTCGCTGCCCTGGACTTCAAAAGAGAGGACTTTGGCCTCTTCAGGAACCTGCTAAGTAAGGTTCCATGGGATACAGCCCTAGAGGGCAGGGGGGCCCAAGACTGTTGGTTGATATTCAAGGATCACCTGCTACAAGCTCAGGAGTGTTGCATCCCAACTAGAAGGAAGTGCAGCAGGAGGGCCAGGAGACCTCCTTGGATGGATAAGGAGCTGCTGAGGAAAATTCAAATGAAAAAAGAGGCTTATAATAAGTGGAAGCAAGGACAGGCAGCCTGGGAAGAGTACAGGTATGTTGTCTGGGAAGCTAGGGACCAGGTTAGGAAAGCTAAGGCCCAGTTAGAATTAAACTTGGCTAGGGGTATTAAGGATAAGAGGAAGGGATTCTACAGGTACACAGCAAATAAAAAACAGACTAGGAAAAAAGCAGATCCCCTCAGGAAGCTCTCGGGAGAACTGGCTACACAGGATTTGGAGAAGGCTGAGGTTCTGAATGACTTCTTTGCCTCGGTCTTCACTGGCAAAGGCTCTGACCACACCACTCAAGTCTTGAAAGGCAGATACAGGGACTGTGAGAATGAAGACCCTGTGCCCACTGTAGGAGAGGATCTGGTGCGAGACCATCTTAAAAATCTGAACGTGCACAAGTCCATGGGTCCTGATGAAATCCATCCGCGGGTCCTGAAGGATATGGTGAATGAGTTGCGAAGCCACTGGCCATCGTATTTGAGAAATCGTGGCAGTCAGGGGAAGTTCCCAAAGACTGGAAAAAGGGAAATATAGCCCCCATTTTCAAGAAGGGGAAAATGGATGATCCAGGTAATTACAGAGCAGCCAGTCTCACCTCTGTGCCTGGCAAAATCTTGAAGCAGATTCTCCTGGAAGGCATGCTAAGGCACATGAAAAACAAGGTGCTTGGTGACAGCCAGCATGGCTTCACTAAGGGGAAATCCTGCCTGACCGATTTGGTGGCCTTCTACGATGGGGCTACAGAACTGATGGACAGGGATAGAGCAGTTGATGTCATCTACCTGGACTTGTGTAAAGCGTTCGACACTGTCCCACACGACATCCTTGTCTCTAAATTGGAGAGACATCAGTTTGACAGGTGGACCACTAAGTGGATAAAGAACTGGCTGGATGGCCACACGCAAAGAGTTGTGGTCCATGGCTCAATGTCCAGCTGGAGACCAGTAACGAGTGGTGTCCCCCAGGGATGAATGATGGGACCAGTCTTGTTCAGTATCTCCGTCGCTGACATGGACAGTGGGATTGAGTGTGCCCTCAGCAAGTTTGCCGATGACACCAAGCTGTGTGGTTCGGTTGATACACTGGAGGGAAGGAATGCCATCCAGAGGGACCTTGACACACTTGTGAGGTGGGCTGATGCCAACCTCATGAAGTTTAACCATGCCAAGTGCAAGGTCCTACACCTGGGTCGGAGCAATCCCAGGCACAGCTACAGGCTGGGCAGAGAAGAGATTCAGAGCAGCCCTGCGGAGGACTTGGGGGTACTGGTTGATGAAAAAATGAACATGAGCCAGCTTCAGTGTGGGCTCACAGCCCAGAAAGCCAACCGTATCCTGGGCTGCATCAAAAGGAGTGTGACCAGCAGGTCGAAGGAGGTGATCCTGCCCCTCTACTCTGCTCTTGTGAGACCTCACCTGGAGTATTGTGTGCAATTCTGGTGTCCTCAACATAAAAAGGACATGGAACTGTTGGAAAGAGTCCAGAGAAGGGCCATGAGGATGATCAGGAGACTGGAGCACCTCCTGTCTGAAGACAGGCTGAGGAAGTTGGGGCTGTTCAGCCTGGAGAAGAGAAGGCTGCGTGGAGACCTCATAGCAGCCTTCCAGTATCTGAAGGGGGCCTATAGGGATGCTGGAGAGGGACTCTTCATTAGAGACTGTAGTGACAGGACAAGCGGTAACGGGTTAAAACTTAAACAGGGGAAGTTTAGGTTGGATATAAGGAGGAAATTCTTTCCTGTTAGGGTGGTGAGGCACTGGAATAGGTTGCCCAGGGAGGTTGTGAATGCTCCATCTCTGGCAGTGTTCAAGACCAGGTTGGAGGAGGCCTTGGGTGATATGATTTAGCGTGTGGTGTCCCTGCCCACGGCAGGGGGGTTGGAACTAGATGATGTTAAGGTCTTTTCCAACCCTAACCATTCTATGATTCTATGAATCAGGAAAGACATGGATATTAAGGACAGGTATTAAAGTTTTTGAAGGTTACATCAACTTACTTGGTACCTTTCCCAGTAAGACTGAACAAAACATTCTGCAGCTGCTTTAGAGGAGGCATAGGGATTTGTTGGACGTTTTGGTGAGGATTCATCAAATTCCTAAAATGAAAAAGGAAAATTTGCATTACTTCATTTCTTTCACCCAGATAAATCTTAAAACATTACAAAAGCTGCAGTTGCAACTGAAATAAAAATCCCTAAATAACCAAGCACACCGAGTCTGAGAAAGTCACCCTTCCACTTACAGCATAAGACCAATAACAAAAGATAGTCTATTTATCAAATACAGGAGGCAGCCAGCATACTAGCAGTAATGTTCTTATAGCAGAGTACCTCACAGTAGCAGGTCTTCCAACCTTTATCTTGTAAAATAATCACTGTTGACACAGGTAGGTTGACTCCTTTTCAGGCTCATATTGCTTCAGAGTGCAGTTGTACTAGCACTACCTAACTGACCTTTCAGTCCTAAATAAGAGAGGTCCATTCTCCCTTTTCTATAAACTTTATTTCTATAAGAAAAATAGAATTGCAACCCAAAGCCCTCCAAAGCAAGGCATTAACAATTCAGACCTATTCCAGAACAGGTAGCTTCACAGCTATCCTGCCACTTCTATCTGTTTCTCATGCAGGTCGGAGGTGAAAGAAGGGAGAGGGACAAAGAAACAAACTAAACCCAGATATAATAATGAACCAAAGGAAGTATGGATGCTACACTGTCCAAAGTTCAATTCATAACAATTGCCTTAACATGTGACTAAGCCTCATTTTGGAGGCAAAGGCCAGACAAGAACAGTGAATTGACCCCAATTTATTTTCTGACCTCCCTTCCCCCCTAGGAAAAAAAAAAAAAAAAAAAAATCTTCAAGAACTTCTACGATGACCTACAAATAGAACAAAACCCAGAATAAACGGAAGCATTCAAGGCCCAGGGGCAGAAAAAGTTCACTTGACGTTCTCAGCCAAACCACTGGTTTGCATGCAGGAAAACAACAGCCACGGGTATCGTAAGTGTCTATAGACTGAATTTGTGTTGTAGGAATTGATGAAGACATTTCAACAGTAAGAAAGTGCACAGAGCTTTTCTGAAATACATTAATATTTTCACAGACTATGGCACAAGACCCCTTGGCTGTTACTTACACCTTTAGAAAGACAACTATGTATAATTGTCTTTATTGAGCTATATTGTATTTCCTGAGTTAACATCAGGCATAAACTGCCAAGTAACAAAAAGATGTTGCGCTATGGACAAGAAATATCTGCATATCTCTTCCAGTAATACAGGAACCATTTCCTGTTCAAACTGTCAGCACCTACAGTTCTGTTAGTATTTTAGCTAGCATACAAAACCAGTTCCCTGCCTGTCCAGCTCACAGTCAAAGCAGAGCAGGAAAAAAATAAAAGTAAAACCAAAACCAAAATATACTGTGCACATTGCTTGAAGTCTCATGACTTCAAGGCAAAATTTGAGCAATACATTCATTTGATAGTATCTCTGAGGAGTATTAACATGCCATTAATGACCCCAAACTCACTGCTTTAGGTAACACACATTCAATACAGAACATGCTACAAAAGAATTCAGGACAGTTCTGATACTTGGCTTTCTAGAAACAACCAATGCTTGTTTACAAGTTCCAGTGTTACCAGGAATAGTTCAAAAGTCATACATTGACAGAGGCCAAAGAAAGTTAAGACAACTTTGTTTTCACTATTTAAAGCAAGTAAAGCAGAAAAACCCTCACTTCCAAACTCACCTCATCAGTGCTACCTCCGTATACTTCATCTGTACTAACATAGACAAACTTCTCCACATTGGCTTCATGTGCAGCAGCAACCAGCACATTAGTGCCATAAACATTCACGTAGGCGAATTCCAGGGCATGCCAAAATGAAAGATCTACATTAAAAATATCAGACAATTCTGATTAAATTTAGGCAAGATATGGCTTCCTACTGAACCATAATATTAGAGGTTGCAATGCAGACTGGGATTTTACCACTAGGGCTTTCTTTGACTGTCAGATAGCAAGGTCATTATTAAAGATACTCTCTACACTTAAAGACAAAATCCTTGCTCTCAACAAGACGCTGGAATTGGGAGCAAAAGCTCACTGACTGTGGACAGTTAGATTTGAAATAGCATTATCTAACTTTTAGTGGAAACATAACTACTTCCCCTCAGCACTAGGAAGGGCCAAGCTCAGAAAGAAATTCAAAGACATCAGCAAGATGCAGTAATAGGTATATATACCAACATATATATATAATTAATTATATATATATATATACACACCAGTAATAGGTATATATACACCTATTACTAGTAATTAACTAACAACTGTTTTAATTCCTAGAATTGTCCCACTGACCTAATGACTTTGTGCATATCAATCTGACAATTTTCAGAAGCATTTTCCTGGAGAATTTTTCAAGTATTTCTGCTCATGGTGAAAGGCATTTTAAGTGTAATTCGTGCTCTGCTTTTTAGAATCCAGGCAGGACTCTGAAGGGAGCTATGCCTAATCCTTCATCTTCTGCTGTGTTTTTTTCCCACAAGGTTGAAGCCAATCAAGTAAAAACTCAAGAATGCATACAAACTCTTTTCTCATTGTCTTTATGGCTACACTGCCAGTTATGTGTATGTTTAGATGGAATTTAAAAATGTAATGCAAAAAAAGGGTACCACAATTTATGCACAATGAAATTAGACAACAGTCAGATGAAGCACTTTTAAATCAAGGCTGTAAATCCCTTGAAGTTAGAAAGGCTACCAGACACGGAATCATGTAGTTTGTCTCTACAAAGTGAATCCTTGTTTTCTGTAAGGGAAAAGACACCAGTATGCATTTCAAACAAACATACTTATGCAAAATAATATCAAAACATGCAACAATGCTCACCTACATGTGTTTGGGCTGCAAAATGAAGGACGATATCTATCTTCTCAGTTTTGAAGAGCTGTTTTATAAAATCAGGTTCACAAATATCTCCCTAAACAGGACAAAAAAAACAAGTTACTTTTGATAGAAAATGGTAAGCTCTCATTTGTATCAAGCACCACATAAAAAACCATTACAAAGAAAGCACAGCTTACTACCAACTGAGTTTTGGCCAATTTGTCTTGGATAAATGTCACACATTTTAAGCAACAGCTTCAATTAAATTTATTTCAGGACTTTTATTGCTATTAAACATTAGAAACATACACAACCTAAGTATAGTGCTTAGTTTGAGTGCTGAGATGGAAATGACAAGTTCCCTCACCAAGTAGGAGACTGGCGAACGGAGAGTGACATCTAGTGGCATTATGAAAGGATTTCCACTTCAGTCAAAATACATGCTTGGATGTCTTGAAAGGATTTTGCATTTTGTTTTTTGTTCTGGTAATTATTTTTTTTTTAACAGATATAGTTAGAAAAGAGTCAGACATCAACACACAAACCATTCTTTAGTTTGACACAGAAAAAACAGCAGCTCTTAAAGGTAAACACAAGCTAGGAAACAGTTTTTTGTATTTATCTGTTGACTCAACTTGTTTAAACAAGAGAGTACCTGAGCACAGATGTCTTGGGGACAAAGACGTGTGTTTTCAATAACAAGGCAATTAACAGTTCAAATGAAGGTATGTTTTAAGAAGTTCTCAAGCAACAATTCTGAACAACAGCCTCAGATGTCAGACATGGGAGGAAGATGAACTGATTTTCCTGTTTCTCATCCCCGAACAGATCTGAAACACTCCAATAAATACATTTCAGGCTCATACATTGAATTTCTTTTTTTAATTGAAATTCAAACTCCATACATCTGTGCTGAGCAACCACAGAAACTGATAAAACCGAATCTTACATACAGTCCCTTAAGCAAGTTTTGTAAGCTTTTACTTCTCTATCTTCCATAACAGGCCTCTTTTCTACTGCACTACTACAGCATTTATCCTTCTTGCTCTCTTCTAAAGCCAGCAATAGTGTTACAGTTCTAACTGCAGGGCATGCCCATCAGAGATTATTTTTCCAGAACATTTTTTCTTATCAGTGTAAACTCTTTGGCTGCAAGGCTGCATCACAGCTGCAATATTAAGCTCTGACCTTCGTTAAAAAACAGTTTATACTATTATAATTATACTGATGTAATTTTTGTGAGAATATATTCCTACCCAAGTTCAGAAGCAGTACAGCTGTATCATTCCTTGTTGCTATTCCCCATTTCACACAGGGATCTATTTATAGGGTGCCTTCTAGAAGTCCATGCTATCCCCAGCAATTAAATGTTAATATATAACCAGGTAACAGGGCCTTTCTAAAGCATTCATACATTTGATATCACATACTGGAAACCATCAAAAACATTAGGAAAAAATAACCAGAAAGCCAGTTTAGGCATGCTGAAACTACATTTGCTTAGTAGACATCCCCTTTCTTCTCATGAAACTTTTATCTCAACAGCTTAGAGATAAAGAGGTGATTTACAAACATGGAAACAGCCATGGGAGTCACCAAATAGGCGAGGACAAATTCAATTCCCCACCCTGCCTGAATCCAAGAAGTACACTTAACTTATATTTACTATGTCCAACAAAGTTGTCACAAAGTTGCTGTTTCAGAAAATTAAATTATATAGATTTTTCCCATTTTGCAACCTCAGGCAGCCCAGCTAGATAGAGAGATCAGCATTAGTACCAACTTTCATAGAGGGGAAGAACTTCAACATACAAACCCACCCATCAGAACACTTGTCTGAACAACAAATAAAAATCTATCCCATGTCTGAAGATAAAACTGTGGAAACAGTAAACTAACTGACAAAATTTTTAAAAGAGAAAGCATACCTTGAATGGTCCCATGAGACCCTGTTCCAAGACAACTATGAACTACACAGCATCTACAGCAGCAAAAATAATTAGCCTGATGTCTAATACTAGCAGAACAAGAAAGAGTACGTTGCACATGATGGAATATGACAAGTGGCAGCGTTTGAAGGTGCAAAATCTAAGACAGCATCAGAGGGTCATGGAGGAGATTAATATGAGTCCATCTTGTCCAAAAGACCATTTCCAAAAGACTGCTTTATGTAAGAGACAGAATTAGTAGAAGTAATTTCAACTCAACCATAAATAGAAACAGTGGCTTCTAGTCTGGGGAGACCTGGAGACATTATCCTGATACAAAGGCCTAAAACTCAATATAAATTCACTGGAAAAGAAGCCTTTATTACCTGGATAAATTTGTAGTTTTCCTTCTCAGAGACAGTTTCAAGGTTCTTCAAGCTTGCACAGTAGTTGAGCTAAAGAGAAATACACACACAATCTCACTAAGTGACCTTCATGAAAATAAGCTAACACAAATCCCACCTAACCACAAGTAAGTTTGAGAACAAAATTTACAACAGAAAAGGCTATTTTGCAAGTAGACATGATGAAGTTTTAAAAACACAAGACTCTGAAATATACCTTAACTGAAAAAGAAAAAAAATTAAACTGAAGTCTAGAACTCAAAAAAAGCCTCAATTTTTTAACTAATTCTTTGTGATGGGCACATGAACAGTAGCTGATTTTTTTAATAGGAACAAATAGTCAAACAAAAACAATGAAGAATTATAACCCACATAAATTTCAACATGTTATAGACTGCATTAAAAGTAATTTAAAACGGTTTTCCATATCAAGAAAGAAAACAAGATATTACCTTATCTAGATTTATAATCAGATAGTTTGGATAGTTTTTCACAAGAGAGACAACTACATGCGAAGCACTGTGGAATAGAAGAAAAACATTTTACAATTATATAGGCAGCATTAAGGTAACAGACACATGATAAATTATAAGTTTAACAATGTCAAAGAGCTTTGGGTTTAGAGGGGAACGTACTCAAGACAAACAACAGAAATTCACAAATGTATTTCAAGATATATCAACATTATTCTATTGAGAATGTCCACAACTGCATACTGTTGAACTAAAAGAAGAGTGTAAAAGTCCATGCTATAACAAAAGAAAGCAGCAGTGCTCACAGCACCCACTCCCCCACCCCCACAAAAAAAAAATTCAACCAAAACCAATTCCAACCAGGCGCATCCATGCTACATTCAACTGCCAGTCTAAAATACCTTTACACCATTAATTTTATAAATTACGGAGAACTAAACACTCTAATCTCCTAACCCACAATATTTACTCTCAACATGCAACCCTCTGTCACAACTGCTAGGCGTAAGAAGCAACGATTTCCTGGCTACCAGGTGGCATTTTTCTCTGGTACAGTCGTGTACATAAGAAGCTCACCCTGCGCGTTCAGGTTTAGCAGGGCTTATTCACATCGTCTCCAGCCTCCCAAGCTGGGGGGGGGGGGGGGTACACAGAGATCTAGTCCTTTCGCAGTTTCAGGCTCTGAGCACGCTGACGGGCTCAAGCTTAATACGGATTTGAATTTTCTTTTTCTCCAGCACGACCCACAGCACTAGAGAGTGAGCAGAGCTCACTGAAAGTCGTACCACCCGCTACCCCACCGCGGCTGAGGCCGAGCACCGGCTCCCACCGCCAGGAGGCGCAGGACATCCCCAGACAACTGATACACGACACCGGCGAGACAGCCTCTAAGGCAAACCCGGCAGCGCAGAAACCGATGCGCTCCCCCCGAGTCCGAGTCTGAGCGAACGCAGCCCGAGCCAGCGACGCCGCGAAATCGGCCCGGGACAGGCCCAAAGGAGGCAGCACAGCGGAACCCCTCCCACCCCGGCCTGGTCTCATCCAAACCACGAGAAAGAGAGCCAGCAATCCCCACCCGAGGCGGAACTCAAGGCACCGCGGTTGCCACTCACATGAACCCCGCGCCACCCGTCACCAGCAACCGCTTCTCGAAGACAGACGGCTCCGACATCGTCCGCGCTTTACGGCAACAGTCTTCATCCCACACACACACACACTGCCTTGCGTCACGGTCTCTCGACTGCGCATGAGCCAAGAGGACCGAAGCCGCCGCTCCCCCGCAGATTTCACAGGCAGAGCCGCAGCAAGAGCCTCCATGTAAATACGCCTTTCATCTCTCCCCACGCGTCCGAACAGCAGAACTTGCTGCTCTGAACCGAGCGGCAGCGGCACAAAAAGACCAAGGCTTTACTTCCGCCTTTAATGGCGACTGTCGTATTTTACGACGCTGGGTCTCAACTTACGGCTGAACCCAGCAATGGATACGTCATAGTCGGGGAGGGGCCTAGAGTGGACTGCTCCCCACTAACGGATCCCTCTCGCGCGGCTCCCATTGGCTCTCGTTCGGCTCCCGCCCTCCCGCTCGGCTGTCCCGCGGCAGCTTGTAACCCGGGCGGGAGGTAGGCTGTCACGTGACGCGTCGGTGCCAGCCGGCGGTGGGGACGGTCGCCGGCGGCAGGTCCCGAGGATGCGGTGGCGGTTGCTGTGGCTCCTCTGCGCCGCCTCCCGCTGGTGGGGCGCCGGCGGCAAAACGCTGCGGGGCGGGTTCGTCAGCGCCGCCGCACGGCGGGACCCGTGGCGGCCGGTGGCGCGGTTCCAGTTCCACGGTGGGTGCTCGAGGGAGGAGCGGGGGAGGGGAGCTGTTGGTGTGAGCCATTAGAGTGGGATGCCTCGGGCGGAGTGTGCAACAAGTCTGATACGCGCCGTTTGCGGGCAGCGGAGGGGCAGCTGTGTCAGGAGCGGGATCCCGCGTTCCGAAGCAACGGAAGAGGAGCTGGTAGGAACCCGGCAGCGCCGCTATTCACTAGAGAAGGGAAAAATGCCGCTGTGGGCGCTGGGCGGCGCGCCGCCTTTCGTGTGCCGCGGCCTGACGTGGCGGGAGTAGCTGGGAGCGCTCGGGTGTTTCAACTTTGATATGAATCTCTGATTCTTCCCCCCTGGAACTCCACCAAGCGAGAGCTGTGCTGGACCCTGCACGTGGCTGTTTCACGTCACTGGGCGTTTCTAGTGTCACCGTGCACCAGGACGTAAATTCTTGCCTGATCCCTTCCAGATGGGTTTTCTTCCCTGTGTTATTAACTCCTCGTTAGTAATAATTCTTGACTGTTAGTTCTGAGAGGCCTAGCAGTGGGCTAGAATCCTGTTAAAATAGCCTGTGCACAAATACAGGTTGGAATTAACGCTGTACTACACAGACGTTTTCCTTTGCAGAATAGATGCAAGCTTAGTGAGTGCCATATACAACGAGGCTGTGCTAGTCAGCATGCCTTTCCTACAGGCTCAGTATTTCAGTAGCTTAGGCTGAGTTAGCTTCATGGCAAAGGAAACTGATGAAGAGTCTCGAGAATAAGTCCTATGAGGAACAGCTGAAGGAGCTGGGGTTGTTTAGTCTGGAGAAGAGAAGGCTCTGTGGGGACCTTATCGCTCTCTACAGCAGCCTGAAAGGAGGTTGTAGTGACGTAGGGGTTGGTCTCTTTTCCTAAATAATAAATGACAGTACTAAAGGTAACGGCCTCAAGCTGTGCCTGGGGAGGTTTAGATTGGATGTTAGGAACAGTGTCTTTGGAGAGAGGGCGTCAGGCATTGGAACAGGCTGCCCAGGGCAGTGGTGGAATCGCCATCTCTGGAAGTGTTTTCAAAAACAGGTAGATAGGCCCTCAGTGACATGGTTTAGTGGTGGTATTGACAGTCCTGGGGTAATGGTTGGACTTGATCTTAAAGGTCTTTTCAAACCTAATTGATCCTGTGATTCTACAAAAAGTCTGTGGAATGCTTCAAAAGACAACCATGAAGATCATACTCAGGCTTCCTCCCAGACTGGAGGAGGCCTGTGAGAGGAAAACAAAAATGTTTGCAAGAAACAAAATCTAGTGGGATGAAGGAAAACGTGACATAAGCCCTAAGAATTGGAATGTGACCTTCCAGCATTGAATGAGAAATGATAGATAAGGTGGGCATAGCTTGGGTAGTGATTTGAAAACAGTTAATTATCGCTGTCCTAGAAGATATTTGTAGAAGTGCTCTATATAGGTCTAAAGAAAAGAGCATTGCTTAAATCTGAGAAAAGAATGTTAAGGCTCAAGATGAGTGGTTTAGGTGTTCAAATGTAATTTATTCTACAACTGCATGTATTTGCGGTCTTAGTGAAGCCACAAGGTCTTTTTTTAAGAGCCGTATGTTAAGTTTTCAAAATCTTTTATTAGCAGCTTAGATAAACTATAGTCCATAGAACATTTTACAGATCCCAGAAGATCACCTTTTTTGAGATTTTATTTCAGGACTGCTGTCTTGCAGCTGGTTCTGAACAAGAAGATATTCCTGGCAAAGCCTTATTTGAAGCTGGTAGTAGTCCATTGACTCACATCCAGCTGGTGCCTAGTTTAGGTGGGAGAGAAGATTGCTCTGACGGTTTAAAAAACATACAAAGCTTGCTTAAATTTCAATAAGTTTGTGCTCTTGCAGTACTAATTGTTTTTTCATCATTAAATCCTCTTCTAATTTAGGGCACTGTTACATTAAAGAATTATATGGCAGCATATAATGAAAGAATTTATCAAAGTAAGTTTGAGGATTATGGAATTACCCAGACAAGATAATTGTGTCAAATAAGCTAATTCTAAAATGGTTAAAGTATTTCTCTAGGCCAAGATGCAGCCTATAGGTAGACCGACACATTAGAGAACACTTTTGAAGTCTGATTTTCTTTGTATCGATTTGATGTCTGTCATCTACAATTAAGTATTTTAGCTCTAATCACTCCATAATATGAAGGCCAATTTACGTAACTTCTTCTGGTATTAGATTCAAGAGCTATTTTATGATGCTCATAATCATGCTACTAAGGTCATAAAACAATAGACTTTGAACCAGTTATTGAAACTGGTTGAGGCACTGCCTTAACTTGGGAAAATAAAATTTGGGGTGGAAGTAAATAAAATGTCTGAAATTCTGTATTAAAAAAGAGGGAGTAGGGAAGGCTGTAGTAGAGAAGGCTAATGACATTTGGGTTAGGGCAAAGGTTTGTTTAAGTATCATCACAGGAAACTGTGCATGCAGTATTGTGTTAGAGATATATAGAAATTATTTTCTGAAAGAGCTTGAAGAATTTTATGGGAAGTAGTGGTAAAAGTTTAAGAAATAAAGTGAAGCTTTAGTGCTGCTACTGATAAAAAAACCTCTGTGCCACACTAGCTTTTTGTCTGTAATGGACATCAAAGCAGATTAGTTGATTTTATTTTTTAAAAATCAAGGTGACCATGCTGTTCTGTGTGTCAGAATCAAGAACGTAGCAGTAGCTGTGACAAAAGCAGCTAGACTTCACCTGTTTCAAGCACAGGAGTGGCAGAAGCTGCAGAATGGCATCGAAGATCAGAGCTGTACAGAGAAGTTCTCCAAAGCTCAGCTGACAAGTGAGTTGCTGGTTTTTCCCCTTACTAATTAAATTTTCTGTGTATTTAGAACCCTGTGAAGTTACCCATGCACATTTACTTCAGTGAATTTGGACTTCGCATCAAGTGAAGTAAAAGCATGACTTCGTCCTTCTGTAATTAAGAATTATTACAAGGAAGTAAAATTACTTTGTTTGCATCACTCCAGAAGACTTTGTTTGCAAGTTATGATTTATTTCACTGCTGCAAAATGAACAATCCTTGACTAGTAATGGCTTCAGTTCAAACAGCCAAACTTTATGAGCAGTTCTAGCCTCATGCTCTCACTTGTGCACAGCTCAGAAAGGGTACATGTTTGGCTGAAGTTTCATTCCTCATTCAGTGCAGAGATTTTCTTTAACTTAGCTTGAAATAAAAGTTTGTTTGTTTGTTTTTTTACTTCCAACTTTACCATAAAAAACCTAATGTTGAAAGAATTTTCAAAGAATATTATTGTAATATGAAACTGAAGAACTTGAGAATCTAATGCTTAGGTCAGTCAAATGTACAGTTCGAGCTGCAGCTACAAATGTACAGTTTGCGTTTTATTGCAGTGGAATGAAAGAAATTAGAGGCAGCCTGCTGCAGTTACCTCTAAAATTCTGACATGAATGCTTGTAAGGTGGGAGTATAGCCCAAGTACACAGTAAAAAGGTGTAATTTTGTACCTGCGAAGATTTTCTTTTACAACTTTATAATCATTACTTTTCCAGAGGTTCTTTTTTTTTTTTTTTTCTGTCTGTAATGTTATCTGCAAAAATTAATCTGGGTTTTGCTGCATTACTTTAGATGTTGCCTGTGTTATCATTTAATGTTCTTTCACCCTTTAATTTTATAATTTGGTATTCATCACTGAATCTCACATTCATATGTTTTTAATATTTGAGCTGGGAATTATACCAGTACAGAATAGGTAGGTTATCTTGTTACTCTGTTGTTTATGAAAGAACATTTCTCATTTGTCAGGAGGGTCTTGTTCCCCAGTTCCATGGAAATGGCATTTTTCAAAGATGAGAAAGCAAAAATTAAATTGTATTTTCATTTTCATGAAGGCACAAACCTGTCATGCTTTGAGATACAAAACATGTTAGAAAATTTTTAATACAGTAGCAAAGATGAGCTAATCAGATAAAGCTTAACTTGAGTATCCATCTAAATGTAAAAGAACAGTAAAAAACTGAAGCATCCAGTTACGTAACTGGAAGACAAACATACTGAAATAATTTTTTTACCATTTATTCATCGTAATGTTGTGAAACCCACTTAAAACATAAATTTTCCTCTAAGAAATTAAATTAACATTAGAAACTTCATTCAAATATATCTTAAATGAATACAGCTTCTTTTAAAAATACATTTCCTCTGTGCGG